TAGCTAAGTGATGTTCTGAGAGCTAGTCTCTGAGTTTCCATATCCACATCTATAAAATAGTGCAAAGGATTTTATTGAAGTTTTGATCACATGCTTGTGTAAGAAGATTAGTGCACTTGTATATTATAGGAAGATACTCCCTGTTGCTTCACATTGCTGACACCACTTACACCAAAGCATCAACGCATTCTGTGACAATCCAAATAAACTGGGTTGCGTGGTTTTAGCCAGTACTGCCCAAGAAAATAAGACTTAAATGATACTCTGATGACGATTATCTCTAATTGTTTTGTAATTGTTTTATTGTGATGGATTATCTTTCTTCTTATACCAACTCCTCCGCTTGTACGTTCAATTTTATCCCCCTGAATTTACGCAATGACTCATCTTTAGCAATTATTCCATCTTTCCTACATCCCCAATGTATTCTTTGCCTTATTATAGCATAACCAGGACATCCTTGCTTATGCTATAGTATCTCTCATCTTTAAAGAAAAAAATTACCCTTAACACTGTACCTCTAAACCCCTCCCAGTTATTTAGGTTGCTCCATGAAAGTAAAAAGTACTCTTTCATAGAGGGTACTTATATAAGTACCCATACTGTTGTTTCCATAATTTCATATGTTATTCTATTATTAAACCACTCTGATCAAACTTCTACCTCCCACTGAAACCATTTGTTTTGAAGAGTATCAGCAATTTTCATATTGCTAACCTATATTTATTTTACCCAGTCTTTCAGTTGTATTTGGTAGAACTGATCATCCCTGTTTCCTTGAGAAATCATATTTATCTTCATTTGAAATCCTCAACTTGATAAACTTTTGGTTTCTCCTTTAACTCACTAGCCAATTTTTCTGTCCTCTTTCTGGTACTTTCTCCTCCAAACCTTTACCGGTTGAAGTACCCTAGGAATTAACCTTACCCTGGGTGATCTTTTTTCAGTTCCCTGGTTTTAATTACACTCTTAGACCAAGGACTTCTGAATGTATTATCTTAAAAACTTCTTCTGTGAACTCCAAACTCATGCACTCAACTGCCTTCCTGACCTCCACACCTAAGTATCTAATTAATATCTCAAGCCTGGCATGGCCAAACATAGCTCCTATCTGAATCCAGTCCCCGAATTGTTCTTTTCTCGATCTTCTCTATATCAGTAAATGGCCCTACAATCTACTTTGTCATCCAAACTGAAAACTTAGAAGTCACAGTTGCTTTCTCTCTTTTCTTCACCCCTTGTTCTGGGTAGGATAGGGCTCCTCAAGATTTCATGTCTTTCTGGAACCTCAGAACACTAGCTTATTTTAGAAATAGGATCATTGCAGATATAATTAGTTAAGATGAGGTCATACTGGGGGAGGGTGGACCCTTTATCCAATATGACTGATACTCTTGTGAGGAGAAGCGAAGAGACACAGAGAGAACATGGGAGAACGCCAGGTGACAAGGGAGACAGAGGTTGGGCTGATGTGTATGTAAGCTAAGAAATGTCAAAGATGACTGGCAGCACCAGAAGTTAAGAGAAAGACATGGGGCAGATTCTCCTCTAGATTCTTTAGAGAGAAAAAGCGTGGCCCTCCTGGCACTTTATTTTAGACTTCCAGCCTCCAGAAATACGAGAAAATAAATCTCTGTCGTTTGAAGCCACTGGTTTATGGTACTTCGTTAGAGCAGCACTAGGAAATCCATATGTCCTTAAATCCAATTTATCATTGAGTATAGAAAGCTCAACCTAGGAAATATACATCCAACTTCTCCAGTGCTTGGGATCCCTCCTGTTAATATTTTATTCTGACTCATCGCCATCATTTCTTTCTGAACCACGACAATGGCCTCGTCACTGACTTCTCACTCACCCCTTCCACAGATCTTCTCACACGGCAACCAGAATGCTGTGTTTTATAAGCATAGATTCCCTCAAAACAGTTGCCCACAAGATCTTACATTATGCAACTCTGGCTCCTATTCTGATACTCAACGCATGCTCACTAAGCTCAATCACATGCATGAATCTCCTTAATATGCTCTGATTACAGGAGTAGAAAGGTTAAGAGCATGGACTCTGTAGTCAGACTTGCTGGGTCCAAATATGAGCTCCAATGTTTACTTAAATATGGCCTTTTCTAAATTATTTAATCTTTCAGTACCTTGGTTTCCTCATCTTTAAAATGGAATAATATTTATCTTTAAAAGCTGCTGTGTTGATTTTTTGAAAAAAATCAATATACATAAAATTAACAAAACACTGCCTGAGAGATTAAGCACTACACAATTATTAGCTTTTGGCTAAAGTATCAAAATGTAGACAAGATGAAATAGATAACCTGCATAGTATCATAACCATTAAAAAGATTGATTTTGTAATTGAAAACCTCCCCAAAAGACATCTTTGAGCTCAGATAATTTTACAGGAGAATTTTACCAAATATTCAAAAAAGAATTCATGCCAATTCTAAACAATCTCTTTCCAAAAGTAAAAAGGAACACATCCATCACATTTTATGAAGCCAATGTTATCCTGATATCAAACTTAGAAAAAGAAGCATGTATACACACACACACAGAACTAGAGACCGATCTTTCATGAACTTAGATATAAAACCCATCAACAAAATATTAGTAATTTAAATCCAAAAAAAATTTTAACAATACACTATATTGGGATGCTGAGGCCAGAGGATCACTAGAGACCAGGAGTTTGAGACCAGTCTGAGCAACAAAGTGAGACTTCATCTCTGCTATATATATGTAGACATATTGTTACGGCATATCATTTATCTTTAGTTATTACATACCAAAGTGTTGGCCAAGGGTCAGTAGCTCTAGAGATACCTACAGTCAACCCAGATCAGCTGAGATTAACCCAGGCTCTACACAGCCCTTCTGTAGAAGTCATGAATGATGATAAAGCTTACCTCTGAATATCCTTCAATTTGTAGTAAAGCGTTTTGGTATTATAAAGCTTCATATTGCATTGCTTTGCATCCTCCCTTATCTCCATTTGTGTAGGGTCCTTACATACACATTATTCATTACTGCTTCCAAATAGGCCTTCAGCCTATACGTTTGGGGACATTTACCTGGAGAAAGGGAAATATTTGATTATCTTACAGACTCATGGATGCATGGTCTGTCTTCCACTAATTGCTTGGAATGCAGGATGTTCTGATGATCTGGTGTTCATGATGAGATTTCTTTGAGTCATGTGATAGACGAAGTTGCCACCAGAGTTTGCCTCCTTTTATGCCCAGTCTAAACTATTCATGGTACACTCCCGGTTCAAAGTGTATAGTTTAAATGGATATACTTAGAAACTGATCTAATCCCCATATTGCCTTCCTGATGTATATAATAAGAAGGTCAAAAATACTGACTAGAAATCATTATCATGCTTCCTTCTATAATAAATAACAAATTAAAATCAGTACTGTATCTCTGGAGAAATTGTAGTGAATTTTAAAAACTAAAAGATACAAGTGTGAGTCATAATATTATTGCATTTCCTCATTTGGCCTTTGCAATTGCTTCTTAGAGAATAAAATAGATCATTGCACATTTAGTGAGGTAATGTTACCTATTGCAGGTGGCATGTTGAATGGGTTAAGTGTCAGGTAAATTCTTAGTACTTACTCTACAGGTAGTAACCCAGTAAATGCATTTTCTCTATTCTGATTTAAAAACTAAAAAAAAAAAAAGAAAGAAACGAAAAGAAAATAGTACTAGGAACAATTTGTTTTCAACTTACAAAATAGAGGTTCCACCTCATGGGACCATTTCAAGAACAAGTCTACTCTAGTCTTGCATTATAATTTAGTTTACATGAAAGGTGACTGTCTTATCTTATAGTTCACCATACATGAATTAAATTGATGACTTTATTTCTACAGGATTCCTAGATGCCTTTGGAAGTGACTCCATGACAGAAGCAGAAAGAGATACAGGGGCTGCTCCTGCATGAATTTCCTGCAGGCCCAGTTGTCCAAGTATGTTAACAAACTTTCTCTAGACTAAAAAACAGGTTGTTTCTGCTTGTATTTCCTAAAACTGAGAGAGGGTGGGAGACCCAATGCTAAATGATTTCTTTTTTATTTTTAAGGCAAAAAATATATGTTTTGGTATTTATACACACACTCACATATGTATAACCAGTAGAACACTGAGCATCTGATGTCTGTCTAGGTAATCTAAGCCATGGTGCTATGATTTGGTCAATCCAATGGTTCATTAAAGGGTCATGACAGGTTGGTTGATGTGGGGATCTTGGAGTAAACCCTGACAGGTAAATCTCACCTGAGACTTGGAAAATGTCAGAGCAAGTTAACTGTAACTATTTTGAGAAATAGGTCCTAACTGGGCTCTGGAGGACACTGGACAGTTCACTACCAGGTTACTGTGTACCCTGAGCTGACTTTTTAATTGTTATTATCTTATTTCTGTAGCTACAAACTCAATTATAACCAAGTGGATGGTACTCAAATGAGTCCCAATGGTATAAGTAAATTGCATAACAGGTTGTTAAGATTCCCAGTTTTCCCACAGCTGCTACACTGCTGTTCCTCTCTGCAGCTACAACAGTGTCCTCCTGGGATATATTCTATAAACTACTGACTTGGAATTAAAGATACTGGACCCAGTTACACACGCCATTTGTGATCTGGCTGTACCAGGTAGAAGTGAACAATTTTTAAAATCTTCATTAAAATGCGATCAAAAGTGTCATACGAAATTTAGTGGAAACAAAATATTACACACATGAAGACTCTTAACAGGATTATGGAAATATTGCTGAGTGGAATAATGACAGAAAACATGAATTGTGCCTTACAATGTAATTTATTGAAAAGAAGAAAAAATACATCTCAGTCACTGCACACAATTATTTGAAATGATGACATTTACAGAGGAAGCAATTCAAAGACTTTTTAAACAAAATTTCCGTTATAGAAACTTAGTAAAGACTTCAAATACTCTCTGTTTAGGTGCCCTCCATACTGGCATACCACAAGTGGAATTTAGATAATAAACTGTCTAGGGAAACTTAGCTAAGGAAAAGAATGATATGCTATCTAATACACAGTAGATAACTCAAGAAGAAAGACTGCCATTAAAATGGGATTTTCCTATTCTAAAATAACAGTCAAAGAGGAGAAATTCAGAGAATGGAATTTTCAGCCACATCTGTAAATAGAAATAGAAATACATGGTTAGTTATATTATTAGTGAGGTAAAGAGAAACTCTTATTATGTAATTTATTTTTCTAGCCATTTTCTCTTCAGATTAGATCAGCTCACAATGTTACTCGTGCTGTCCTGTTACTGACATACATTTCTGGTGTTACTGATTTTTAAGATTTAAAGACAACTTATTACTAAATAGTATTTTCTTTTGTAGTGTCACAAAAGATAGAGCAAGGCAACTAGAAAAAAAGGCTTGCATATAGATCAGAATTTTATAATTTTCCTTAGATTTATCTGTTGGAAGGGAAGTTTCCACTACTGCAAGGGGAAAGCACACACACACACATAATTAGAAGCTCCAATATAGCGGTGAAGGTCATTAAAACAAATTTGTAGACCTCTTCAACTGGTGTTGACAAATAGACACTTGGTTTCACCATGTGACTCGCTAAGGATTTCTGCTGCTGATATCATAAAGAACAGAATCCTACTATTGGATTAACCAGAGTTTCAAAGTCACGACTTCATGAAAATTGGTAACATCTGCCCATACTTGTATGAGTTTCCAATATTATAAATTATATTAGTTAAAATTAGGTGATTTTTAAGTTGCTGTTTAAATACATTATGATTATTTTTAAAAGTTGCAAATAGAAATATGATCAATAGATAGACATGTAATTTCCAAACTTACCAAGGGTCATAATTGTGGAGTTCCTGAGAATGGACTTAATTCTTCTGAAAGGAAAAAAAATTGTTTAAATCATGTGATCAAGGACTCACAAAGATTCAAGGTTAAGGGGGAAAAATCATGCAATGAAGGCAGTCAGCAAATTTTTTTACCAAATCAAGAAAAAAATGACTGCTACTTATTTGGTATCTATTTTCCCAGCACCATGCTTAGTAGAGATTACTACATTTTATTACCTTAGGGTTATAAGATATCACATTGTTATTTCAAATAAGCAAAAAGGTCAGAATTTGAATATAGGACTACTGAATATCAAAATCTATGCTCTATTCCCTACATAGCATTTTTGTATTTATCATAAGTATAACCAAAAACAGGCATTTAAAGATTAGTAAAAGTACAAGGAGGGAAATGCTAAGTTATATATCAGAAGTCTTTATATTTTTTAATTTAGAGAGGTCTTTTTGCTCACCCTCATTAGAATGAATTTCACTTATAGAATAGATAACACTGCTCTGCATGTTACCAAGCAATAGATTAATATTAGCCAGAGATACCAGAAAGTATTACTCATTTTCCATTTCAGAAAATTTTAGTATCATGCAGTAGGCATTGATTTGGCATGTTTATTCTAAATGTGTTCTCATAGTGTGTTCTCTAAGCTGCCTTCTTTTATTTCCTTTGTCAGAATATCAATATGCAGTAATTTAAATGAACTTACCACCACTGTGCCATAACATTAGTTTTCTCATTGTTCTCAGCGGAAGTTTGCTTAGCGATGTCTTGGGATGGCAGGAAAGATGGGTACTGCATGTTTTGTGGGAAATAGTACCAAGTAGCGTCAAGCTGGTAGACTTGAGGGAAGGGCTAGGAGAAAACACAATTGAAAGCAACTGTGTATGAACAACTGCTGTTTTCAACCTCTGAAGAATCAGACATTTGATTTGTTTCCTAGATGCCTGTTAGCATCCCAGAAGGTGATTACTCTGTGAGAAAAAAGAAGAACTCAAACTCTGTGATTTGGTGAATTATGGTGAAGAGACTTCTAGAAGCAGCTCTTTCAGGGTACCAGAGGAGCGATGAATAAATCACTTTTTTAAGGCCACTATTCAATATTAAACTCCAAGAACCTGTATTATTCATACAGGACAAATTACCAGAGCCCAGAAGAATGTAGGAGCATGAATTCCATTAGTATGCAATTCATAAGGTTATGGGCATTTTTGCTACTGAGCTCTATTACTTTCCTTAAAAGGCATTGAGGTCAAAGGAAGGATCCTGCATCTAGAGTCAGCTCAGGTGACTTTCAGAAATGCCAGGCATAGAAAGAAAATAATTCTCCAATTCCTATATCAATGCTGTTTCCAAACATCAGAGTTTTGAGGCCAAAACATTATCCTTTCTGAAATTTTGGAATAGCTGCCTCTGTTGATCCATTGTAGCATCTTACTTAATTGTTTCTATGTATTAACACAAGAACAATTGCATATAATTCTCTATATGTTTTGGTAGAAGATATGTGCTTTTTGCTGGAATTAGAAAAAAATGAAGTCATTTCAAATTTTGCTATGGATACTAGACTATGTAAAGATTAAAACAAATATGAAATCTGGAATTTTCTGTTTGCTTATTAAAGCATTTAAATTAAAAAATTAAATATAAGAAAGTCAACTCACCTCAGGGTAGAATTGGGCCTGTTCCTTGATAGAGCGAGAGACAGAGAGAAGGAGAGAGAGAGAGAGAGAAGAAAAGGAGTTGTTATGATTTGAATGTATTCCCCCAAAATGTAACCCCTAATGCAACAGTTGTTGAGAGGTGGGAACTTAAAGAGCTGATAGGGTCTTAAGGGCTCTGCTCTCAAAAATGGATTAATGTTATCATGAAAGTGGCTTCATTATTGCAAGAGTGGATTTGTTATGAAGTGAGTTTGATCCTCTCTTGCTCTCGTTTGCACCTGCTCTTTTGCCCGTCTGTTCTTCCCCCAAGGGATGGCGCAGCAAGAAGGCCATGGTAAGATGCTGGCCCCTCAGTCTGATCTTGGACTTCCAGCCTACAGAATCATTAGCCAAATTAATTTCTGTTCATTATAAATTAACCAGTCTGTGGTATTTCTTGTTATAGCAGCACAAAAGGAACTATGGCTTTAGTGTCATGATTTACATCCAATAGAACACCATGATAGACCAAATTATTGCTGCCCCAAACCCTCATTAATAAGAAAAAATACATATATATTTTTCACACACTTTTTTCAAAGAATTACATGGAGAGTTGAGACCAGTGAACTCTTTGGAGCTCAAATAAACTGCATTATTGTCTTTAGTTTGCTTTTACTTTTACCAGTGAAAGTGATTAGAGGATTTCAGAAGGAATTGAAGATAAAATTTGATGTACACTGAGGAACTATTATTCCTAAAATCAATTAACAAACTCAATATGTTGAATCTTGGAGAAAAATTTTTCTGTCTAATTACCTTCACAGAGAGAAAACTCTATGGCCTTCTTTAGATGCTTTTTTGGTGGTTGTTAAATTGGCATGTCACGTATAAATTGAACCATTATTGGTCCAGAGTCATTGATTTGAACTCAGTTACCAACTTTGAAAGACACAAAAAAGCACTATAAACATAAGCATATGGGAGTTTTGGGGGAGAGGAGAAATTGATAAACATATTAATTTCTTCATAAACAAGAAACCAAAGATTAAAGAGAATACACAATATGTTCAAGTTCATGTGATTAGAAGGTGTCCAACCTGAGATTGAAAACCTAAGTTGTTTCCATTACACAGTACCATAGAAAAATAAAAGGTCACATTTGACAACGTGAATGGCCAGTTGGGATTTTTCTGACTTAAAAGTTGGCCTGATGCTATCTTCTTCACTCAGGGATGGCCATAGAATTATCCTTTCATTTTTCTTTGATGACTTATATCTGATCTTTCAGAGCAATGTTCAAGCCAGCACCGGAGAGTCCAACACTAGTCAACAGCTAAGAAATACTAGTGTAATGCTGGTTAATGATGCAGCTGGTTAATGATGCAGCTGGTTAACGATGCAGCTAGTTAACAATGCAGGTAGTTTCTGGAAAAAACAGTGACTGCTCATAGACCGTGTCTGGAGCATTGTTAAAACACACATACACACACACACACACACACACACACACACGTACATTAACACTGATTTACCTGATTCACTACTCTTACGGGCTCTTCCTAGAAAGAAAAAGAGAATCAAAATTATCTTTTAAGACTGAATAAAACTTCAAAGACAGAAGAAACAACCTAATTGAAATACTTTTCATTTGGGAACTGACACTAATTTTGCCAATTGTAGTTTGAGACAGTGTTTCTTCGAAGACTCGTGGAGCATTCTCACTTATCTTTATAAGATTCACTAAATGGAGATTAGTGATTAGAGAGCACATTCTTGTATGGATTTGGCATAGTTACTTATAATAATCATAACTGTTAAGGTAATACACATTTCATAGTAACTGATCATTGCCATGACAATGAGATTAGAAGGTTCAGGAACACTGTGGGAATCAATGCTACATAGGCTAGGGGAAGAGTCAGTATCTGTTAGGTATTACTGATAAACTCATTTCACAGGTGAGAAAACAAAGGATTTTGGAGAGTATTTTGAGAGATAGTCTCTCCAGGTGGTTTCTTCAAAAGAAATGTGTGTCAACTAGTAAATCTCCAATACACTTTGCTTAAGAGAGCATAATTATAACTGAATTTGAGATTCTTAACAATAAATAGGATTTGAGAATCAGACAAATTTATGGGCATAAGTATATAAAATTAAGGAATATGCTAAAAATTATTATAATCATGGATATTAATGTTTCATAATGCTTATGATTATAATTGTGATACCCATGTTAGCTGAGACAGAACACTTTCCGTTTCCAAGAATAGAGACAAGGAGTTCTTACATTGCAGATTAATTAAATAATTTCAGAAACTTGGAAGTGAGAAAAAACTGAGAAGAAAGAAATCTCTTCGGCCTGGCACAGTGGCTCATGTCTGTAATCCTAGCACTCTGGGAGGCTGAAGAGGGAGGATTGCTTGAGCTCAGGAGTTTGAGACCAGCCTGAGCAAGAACGAGACCCCGTCTCTACTATAAATAGAAAGAGTTAGCCAAACAACTAAAAAATAGAAAAAATTAGCTGGGCATGGTGGCATGTGCCTGTAGTCCCAGCTACCTGGGAGGCTGAGGCAGGAGGATTGCTTGAGCCCAGGAGTTTAAAGTTGTTGTGAGCTAGACTGATGCCACAGCACTCTAGCCTGGGCAACAGAGTGAGACTCTGTCTCAAAAAAATAAAAAAATAAATTTCTTCAAGAGCAGGAGGCTATTTAAAAGCAAATAAATTTAAACTTAGCAATACATTATTTTGTAATATATTGTTATTTTATAATACATTAAGCAAAATATTACCACTTGAGCATGGTTGTATTCATTCATTCTGCGAAGTTGCTCCTGTATAAAAGGAAATAAATTCTAAATTACTTAGACATCTTATGGTGCAACACATTCGCCTTACCTTGCACCAAGAGTGTATCATCATACATGAAAGTTAGAATGAACTATATTCTATGCCAGAATTAACCAAAAATATCAAAACACTTATATTTTCTAAATTTAGAAAAATATTCAGCTAAAGGCTAAGCTCACTAGAGTTTGGAAGAATAAAAAAAAAATTGTAAGGTTCACACTGAGGCAAAATAATAACTTACCAATTTTCTAGGATTACATATTTTCTGTTCCTGGCTATTTACTAATTATTTAAATTTTATCTTTGGTAAATTTTAAATAAAGTATTACCAGATCTGGGTGGGAGACACTCTCTCTATTAGAATATATTTTTATTATAAAAGAGCATATATTATAAAAGCATAACAGAGGAAGAAAACATTAAAATATTTTACATTTAGTAAATAATCTTACCTGAGCATGGATAGCTTCCTAAGGAAGAGAAAATATTTTGATTAAGTATTTGATTTAATTCACTTATAACATTTACCAGGTACCTTCATTCATTCAGAAACTATGCCAAGTATTAAAAACACATCTATGAAATATTATGAAAACTATGAGCAAGCCAGAATGGTTCTAACAGTTGAAGTTACAGACAAGCCATGTCACAACTAAGGTACTAAAAAGTATTATTCAGGTAATTTTTTAGATCAGTAATGAGGAATTCTAGTGGGATACTGATGTATTTAAGTTTATGAGGACATTAAACACAAGGAACCTGAAAACTGAAACAGGAGGAACAATTGGGATCCACATTAAATTTGTAATTGACTTTCCGCCTCCCACACTGATTATAGAAGAAAATGTTAAAATGTAATTTTGCTAAATTAGGGCAAGACCTTTTCCCAAAGTCTCAGTGAAGTCAAATTTATTTGCAGTAACTTAAGAAAGGTTTTTATTGCCCTTTCAAGTGAAAGACTTTTATGATACTCAAAAGGTCAAATCCAGCAATAAGTAGCTGTGTGTTATGGCAGAAGTAAACCTGGCGTGTGGTATTCCTGGTTCATTTTCTAGAATCCACACTGTTTCTTAAATGGAACGTTTACTTGGCACAACTGTGCTTTCAAGGTAACCACGTTTATGACACCCTCAACTAGGACTGAATTTGGGAAAATAGACACATGACAAATTTTTTAAGACAATGTATCATCAGGGAGACTATAAGACGATTTGAGGTAGAATGTAGTCAAAGTAAATTTCTCCCTGGTTAGTAATTATGGATAAGATATACAACTTTAGTCATAAATAGAGTGAGCTTTGCCAGTAAATACATAGACAATGATATACATAATTTATCAATTATTACTGGTCAAAGCTAGAATAAATAATTTCTTAAGAAAAATGAAAGCATATCTAGAAGTGGCCCCAATTTAAAATTTATTTATTTACATTCTACAGTAGAATATGATTTTGTATTATAATAAATAAAATATTACCAGCTGGAGTTGGTTGTATTTGTTCATTCTATGAAGCTGTTCCTATTTAAAAGGAAAAATATTCTCAATTGCTTGTATGCCATTCGGTCCAGTTCCATCATTTTTAGATAATGAAGCAAAAATATTAAAATACTCTTTCCCAGGGATAGAGAATGAGTAACTATCAATCCTACGTTAATGCTATTTCTACCACAAGTAATTTCAACCTATTCTATTATTCCTTTTTAAAAACATTAGAAAAACTACTTCTTAAACTTATTTTTAACTTGAAATAAATTACAGTGCAAACTGATATAAATTAGTATCTGACAATTTTACTTGCAGCATATCAGAATTACTAAGAACATTGAAAATGTTTTTTGCTTTCTGACTGTGAAAAGTTTACTTTGGCCAAATTAAATGAGCATATTAGATGAATGGAGAAAAATGATGCTTCTAATATTAGCCAACATTTTTTGATAATTTACTATGTGCCACTTAAATACTATGCTATTTAGATTGAAAAGGAGACTATAAAATACAAATATTCAACTGAAACCATAAATAAGATACCTTCGATTAAAAAAATTGTTTTATTTTTGGAGTGGAATTAGCAAACATCTAGAGTCCATTAGACCACTTACTATAGATAAGTCCACCACATAATGAGAAGGAGATATATCTTATCAATACAACATTCTAACTTGTTCCTTGGTATACTTGATACACCTTTAATGAATTTTTACCTGATTGCATTGGTTGGTCACATCTTCATTTAAAGCGCATTTTGGCTGAAAAATATATATAAAGGTTGTTTAAGTAAATTTTAACTTGTCTTGGATAATATTAATATATTTTAAATTTAGCAAATATGTCTTACCTCGGTGCTGCTTTGGGAAGCAACTTCCTTTTAAAAAAATAAAAAAAAATGCAGAATTTTAATTTTATGACATTAATTTACACTTAAGGTGAGAATATTAATCGACCAGACATGATTACTAAATAACTAGGGTAAACTGATTTTTAGCCATAATTTCCTGGATAACTGAGACAAGATTAATAATTTGAGGCAGATGTTATATTTACACTGCTTTTCCTTTTCTTACTGCCTTCACCAGGATGTTACTCCGAATACTGGGGGTGGATGTGAAGTAATCACCTTTATTGAATAAACAGGAACTCCAGCTAATTGACTTGCTTTTATTTTAGTCATATGAATGAAGGTCTTCTCCCAAGTCAAAGGAGGGAGCTCATAACCTTCTTTGCTATCTTTTTTCTCTAGATTAACAAAAAGCAAAGGGTGAACAGTAGTTACAGGATTCCAGGGTCTGATTAACCTAGAATTTATTGATTTCTACCCAGGATTTCTTTGGTTTAGAAGCAGGGTCATTGTTGGAACTTTTACTGATAAGATTGGGTTCTATCAAAATCCGTGAAGGACAAAATAATTGGGAAAAATTGGGCTCCATAGATGGCCAGACAGGATTGCTGTCCAGAAATAATTCTGTAAATTTGTCTCTGACAAATAATTCCTTTCTTCTTTTGGGTATATAATCCCACACAAAAACTAGGATAGTGTCACATACACAGTGCCTGGTACAATGAAATCTTACCGGGCATGTAATATTCCTAGTATAATAAGTTTTCATAAAAGTTTTTTTAATTAATTAGAGCACTGAATTAATATCAAAATCATTTACCTCGCTTGATGAACTGCTGCTAGATTCACTCTGCTAAAAGAAAGAAAACCACTGTTAATGATCTTCCTGAATTTTTAGAATTGAAAGAAACCAGTTCTGTACCATCACAGTGGGTTGCTTACCCCTGGGAACATCAGAATTGAAATTGGTGGTATGAAAAGATTCAGGGCTACTATAACATATTTATCAGGAATGTCAATTTTACTTGAAAAATGATGGGGTAAAGTTTAATAATATATCTGGGAACTTAAAAACTTAATTTTTTTAGTTTACTAAAACAAACATAGGTATATCATTGAGTAGAATGCAAAATTTATATAGATCCTTGTGATAAAATGAAACCTCAAAGAAAGAGTCATATTGAACTTGTTGACCCAGAACCTTGAGTTAACTGTTCTCAACTTTGCTTGGGGTTAATTTTATGTAAAACAATGGAAACATCAAATACATCCAACAGTTTCAAGATGGAATTAAAATTACATTAGCTTTTAAAACATCTACCCTTTTAGATATTTATTTTTTTCTTCTAAATCCTGTATGCCTACGTTTACATATAGATATAATATTTGTTCCCAAGTAGATATTTTAAAAGATTAATGTTAATATACAACAGACTATTCAACTCTGGGAAGAGTTGATTGAGCGTATATAATGGGCTAATAATTTTTTCCCATGTGTTTAGAGTAGGTAGCATAGCCCATTGATCCTAGGTAATTGCTGCGATAGATTTTTCCTGCGCACGGACTATTTTCAATAGCAGAAAAGAGTAATCTCATGCCCTAGGATGCCAGAGGCAAGTTTGTATTGGAGTCTTATTTTAAATATTTGTGAACCTTTTGCTTTTTACTCTTTCTTTTAATAAATAAGCAATGTTTTCACTGATTATCATTTAAATGGCTCAAATTCTCGCTTCCAATTTTAACTTTATCTGGCACAATGTTGTATGTTCTTGAGTATAATACCTCTGTATGAGTAGTGCAATGAGTTAAAATTAGGATAGGATTCATTTAACATCAGGATTTTAAACATTCTAAAATTAAGTTTCTTATCTTACTCAATTTGAGAAGATCTCCTTCTTAGAAAGAAGCACACTGCATACTATGCACGCATACTTAATGCATGATACATCAGTGTGGAGTTCATGAGAATAAAAGAGCCTTACCTCAGTCTCGGTTATTACATGTTGTTCCTTAGGAAAAGTAAAGAGAATTAATTTATTTTTCGTGACTCCCAGTCAAATGCAAAATTGATAATTACCAAATAAAATACATGCCAAAGAAAATAGAAAAATGAGGCAATGTCAAAGTAATAAGGAAAATTAAAAAGCCTGCCTCCTTTGATCTGAGCTAACTGAAAGATTTAGCTTCCTAATCCACATTTCAGAGTTTAAATTTTTTTTTATTTTTTTATATTGTGGTAAATCAGTGTAAACAAGTTTACGTTTTCCTTTAACACCACTTCTCTCTCTCGCTCTCTCTCTTAGGCTTCTGGACATTAAGCAAATAATTGCATTAAAGATCACGCAGTAGATAAAAGTATGCCGAAGGGGAGCACTGCTTCAATGGCATGTAAACACTTCAGCAAAATAGATTTTTTATCTGTCTAGTATGTTGTGTTCAGTCTTCATGACTACGGCAATACAGAGAGTGGTGGCATTATCCATAGAATTTAAGTTCAAAATATTAGTGTTGGTTTAGTTATGCAGCTAACTTGGGCCAACATGATATAATAATCTTTTTTCTTTCTTTGACTTAGAGTTATCTTTCATCATTCTGACGCAAGAGAATTATTTATACATATTGAGCAGTGGATTTGAAGGAAACATTTTTTTGTTATTTTTTTCCTTTTTCGTATTGAGTGCAGTTGTTTTAAAACAAAGAGTCTTACCTCAGTTGATTCATTGTTAGTTTCCCGCTAAGACAAAATAATTTATCAATCACTTGTGAAGATATATATCTTATAGGTCATAAATTTTGAGCGCCTATTTGATCTCTCAATATGAAATCTATTAAGAAACCAGTAGACACTACAAATCAAAAAGTTAGGTTTAAAGAGAATAATCAGCTGTGACTATGTGAGACAGTCTTGAGTCAGATATACTGCATTGCTTTGTAATATCTTTGATAAAGCATTCCTTCCACTTTGATGATAAATACAAATAAACAATTGCACTTGTTTATTCATTCACATTAATGCTTTGTGTCATTATAGGTACACAGTTAAGTCAATAAAATTAGTAGTCTTTAGAATTCTCAGCAGAACTCATTAGTCATTATAAATGGCATCATATCATGACTATCCTTCAGGGAAAGGATAAATGTCATAAAAAACACATTTTTTAAACAAAAATGAAAACATTTTTCCTACTATAAGGATATATATTTTGGCCACACTATTTTAAGAAAAACTTTGATACTTAGATTTCTTTGCTCTGTTTTTCTCCCTGACGTTCTCTCTGCCAAAATCAATAAAGTATAGCTTATGAAGTATATTTTTATAAGAGCACACTTTTAAAATAGTTTAAATTTCATTGATGTTTCTTACCCTGTTCAGTTCATTGATGTATTCCTTAGAGATAGAAGAAATAAATAATATTAGTGAAATGAGACATAAATGAATGAACATGTATGAGAAAGCCTCCCTCTCATTGGCCTATTGCAAATTTATAAATAATGTATTTTAATGAATGCACTAATATTTCTTGTTATATAACTTCTAACCTTAAGGGCTTTTTTTGTTTGTTTGTTTGCTTTTTTGCTACATGTTCTCCATGTAAGTTGTCAGTATATGTAAGTGTGCACTTAAAAATATTTTAAAATTTATTCCACTGAACTTTGTTGTCTTAGACCTTCACCTTGTGTTAGGCACTGTTATGAGTCCCCTGATCCTAACAGTTGCTTCCCTCTCTTCACTCTACAATATGTCCCGTGGAGTCATTCTTACCTGTCTTAATTCTATTGGTGTGGCCTGCAAAAAAAAAAAAAAAAAAAAAAGAAAAAAATGTTATAAAGGTTATACTAAAATTCAAAGTTGAGTTGTCCATCAAATTTTTTAAATAATTTCTTTGAATTAAAATTTGATGTTTTTCTATTTGACAATTAAGTGACAAAATTATAGAAAAATACAACACATTTGGGGTAATATTTACAGTCAGAAAACATTCCATGATAATGAGTACAGAAATTATAAAGTTCTACTTAGGTCATGCAAAAGAAAGCACAAGTGTTTTGGAAAGGGGCAAACATTTAGGTACAAATTAAAATTTAAAGTAGCTCTTTAATATTTTCATATCTTGTTTCAGTATATTTTGTGGGTGCCTGGATTGACTGACTAAAGGGATGGTTGACCAAGTGAAGTGAAAAAACATTTTTTATGAACAAAAATTAAATGAATTTCTGCCCCAAAATATGTTTATCTTTTAAGAATAAGTGGATAAACACTTACCAGAGCAATTGCTGAAAACTTTCTTTCTTTGAGGATTTCCTGTTGAAATTGGATTGTGAATTATAAAAATGATAAACACCAAAAAATGAAGGTTTTTATTTTCCATTTGAACACAAATGTTCCATTTCATTTGGTAAACTGGCAGATTTTTTAGGTAGAAGAAAAAACAATAGTTTGAGGGTTTTTAAAACTTTCAATCTATTTAGGAGATACAAGTGCAATTTTTTATATGGATATATTGTATATGTGTGAGGTGTGGTCTTTTAGTGTATCTGTCACCCGGATAGCATGCATTGCACCCAATAGGTAATTTTTCATCCCTCACTTCCCTTGTGTCAATAGATTTAGTTTTATTATCTAATTTTAAAATCTAAAGGGGACACTTTAATTAGTTTCTTCTTCACCAGGCCTTGAGATTTCGAAAGTACATGCTTAGCAAAATGTCTAAAGAAGAAATTGAATAGGGGTTTCAAAACAAAGTTGAGAGAGTAATCCAAGGACCTGTGTACTTGGATACATTTTAGTGTAAATCAAAATTAGAATGACGAAGACATTCAACGTTCATGAGAACTAACTGAAAGATAGGAGGTGAGGGGAAGTCAACATTCCCTACAGAGAGCTTACCTCGCTGCTGCCTGGTTGATTCTGCAGAAAAATAATAATTTTGAAACATGGCATTAGTTCAGTTACTGGAAAAAATGCAGGATTAATGATTCTTGTAGAAGGTGTGGTAGAGGTAACCAACTCAAGATTCAACATGTAAAATGAGGCCAAATTGTAAATCACATGTTTGAACACATATAAAAGAGATAGAAGCAAGACTATATTAAAATAAACCACTCTGTTTAATTATTTCTTTTGAATAATAGCAATCCCTTTATTAACATAAATTTTATATAAGGCCATGTGCTCTCTTCTTTAATAGGTTTTGTAAGAGCAGGCAACAGCTGTCAGTCTGTGAACTGAAGGAATTATGCCTTAGCCCAAGTGAAATGGGTACAAAGAAGGGAAGATCAGTTTTGAAGTCTATGTGCTCCCATTGCACTTAAGCTCCACAAGTAGAAAGAATTCTTGGAATGTAGAATAACATACTTACTTGAATGAGTTCTGGGTGTCTAAGAGGATGTTTCTGTGAAAAATAATGCAAAAATTTTAAAACAAAACAAGCAAAGCAACAGTAATAATACACATATAATACTATGAATATTATTAACATTGCTATTTAAGAAGGGTGTGTATTTTAACAGCAAAATTTGCCAGAGATCAAGAACTCTGGGAAGAAAAAGAAAAAAAAATCATAATTATTTCATTGACAAATATCAAAGGAAAATAGGTTGATTATTTCCTTTCTTTAGAGTATGACAGAGAATTGAGAAAACTGTGTAAAAAGTCTTTAAAAAGTAAAACCCTTAGTTAGTGTGAATTAATACAGAATGATAAAAAATGTATTTAGTTTTATGAACTATTTATAAGATTTATATTATAAGTCATCTGAAGATGATGTTAAATCCTTATAGAAATGTTGGGCATTATAATTAAATGTTTGCCTGGATTTTATTTTTATCATCAATTAAATCATATAAAAATGTATCTTCCTGTGGAATCAACCCAAGTGCCCATCAATATGAGTAGATTAATAAAATGTGCTATATTATACTATGGAATACTACGTAGCCACGAGTAAGGATGAATTAAGGCCTTTTGCAAAAGTTTGTATGGAAGTGAAGACCATTCTCCTAAGTGAAGTATCTAAAGAATGGAAAACAAACACCACATGCACTCACTATTAAATTGGAACTAACTGATGAGCACACATGTGCACAAAAGGAAGTAAAATGAAATGGAAATCAAGCAGGGGGAGGAGGGTGGAGAAGATGGACGAAAACCTACATAACGGGTACAATGAACACCATCTGGGTGATGGGCACACTGATAATCCTGACTGAAGCATAACAAAATAGGTACATGTAACCAAAAACATTTGCACCTTAGTAATATCTTGACATCAAAAAAAAAAAAGTATCTTCTCAGACCACAGTGGAATAAAACTAGAAATCAACTGAAGAGAAACACTCAATTCTACACAAAGTCATGGGAATTAAAAATGCATTTTAATCTGCATTTTGACCGCGAAGATAAGACTTAAGTTTTGTTACATGATGGCACAAACAAACAAACAAAGATTCTATTGTTTTCCTTGGAATAAAGGTGTAGAATTTTTTTGGGGGGGGATAATTTTATCCATTTCCTTTTTGTAAAATGAGAAGATAAGAAGTGCTTAAATGATACATTTGTAAGGCACTTTAATCTTCATTTGGTAACTTGTAGTTAGAGATTTCTTTCTATTGGTGTCTAGGATATAGCATGAGCAAAAGGCTGTTGGTTTAGAATTTAAGTCTTAGTGATTCCTCACTGTCCAAAGGAGGATGCAGAGAATGAGTCTCATTAACACAAGCAATAACCCCCTAGCATTTCATAAACCTTTGCTTCTGTATGAGATGGTCTTAGTGTCCAAATATCCCTGATCATTCCTTTATCTGGATTTTTTATACTCATACCTTTATCTGTTTATTTCTCCTTACATTTATTAGCTATACATCACAAGGAAACAAAGAAACTTTTGCTTCATATAACTACCTAAATAGATGCAAACTCTAATTTTGAGAAGAATGGTTATTTTAATTTACATTTTCACTGTTTACAGTGACCACAATAATTTGATTGCTGAATTGGCAGAATCAGCTCAGTTTATTATCCCTTGGGGAAAACAACAACAGAAAAAAGGTGACACAGCCACCTGAAACAAGAGTTTGACTTAGGTTCCAGAAGTAGGATACATTGGAACATGTGGGTTTATGTTACATTTGGTTAAGAAATGTTAGACACCTGTCACATGTCTGAATTATATCTGATTTATATATATAGCTGATTTATATCTGAATATTTCTGATTTAATTTGAATCATTTCTGAATATCTAGAAATATTCTATAGTGGACCCAGGGAACCAGCCTAATCACATTCTTTGATGCTATTTATTATGTTACTCAATAACTCATTTCTTCTTTTTCTTAATTTTTCTCTTTAATTCTCATTTATTGTGAGGTGCTTATATTTCAAGCTTTGAATTGATTATATAATAATGATGAAAATGTGAATTATTACTACATTTCTAATGTCAATAGAAAGATCACCCAGTGCTTTAAGAGTACTATTCCCAGTACCCTGGGAGTCATCAGGTCATTTCTAATAAGATTCTAGAACCTAAATTCTCTATTGAGCTTACAGGTCTGGCAAGAGCGACAGCCACAAGGCAGGTGAGTATGAGAAGCTTCATGGTTGTCAAGGCCTATGAAAGATGACCAAAAAAAGAAAAGAAAAAGAAATATCATATTAAAATAGAGTTTTTTAATGAAAAAAAATCATTAATTTTTCAACAAAGGGTCTCACCACTACAAACAACAGTAAATATGGTAAAAGTAAATTCACTTGAGAAGCAGTACTTTTATAAACTTAAGATGTTCTATTTTTTCTCAACGTAAATGTTTATCATTTTAGTTATCTTTGTTAGTTCTTACATTATTTAAAAATACCAGTTTCTTAAAACCTTTTTATTCGCTAATACTCTAGAACAAGACACTTGGTCCCTAATGTGGTAATATGGCTTCGTGAGAAGAATAGAGAAGAACGAGTATTTCAATACAATTAACAACAACAACTTTTTCTCCCAGATCATTAGAAAGCGTAATAAACTAAAATCCACTAAAAACTGGTTATTAATTTTATCTGAAATGTCTTGACTATGTGTTACTCTGATAAGTCTGCTTGAGAGCATTTTGTTCTTTTAGTCTTCTTAAAAAATGCCAGCAACACATTATACTAAAGCTATTAATTTCCATCAATTATATTTTAAAAGAATCAACCAGGTGCAGTGGCTCATGCCCATAATCCTAGCACTCTGAGAGGCCAAGGTAGGAGGAACGCTTGAGCTCAAGAGCTTGAGACCAGTCTGAGCAAGAGCGAGACCCTGTTTCTATTAAAAATATAGAAAAAATTAGCTGGGCATGGTGGCACATGCCTGTAGTCCCAGCTACTGGGGAGGCTGAGGTAGAAAGATTGCCTGAGTGTAGGAGTTAGAGGTTGCTGTGAGCTAAGCTGACGCCACAGCACTCTAGCCTGGGCAGCAGAGCAAGACTCTGTCTCAAATACATAAATAAATTAATTAAAAGAATCTAGCTATAACTTTATGCTTTGTTACATTGGGATATCCATGACATGACTATATGAAGATGATTGAATTGGATAGAATAATAACATTCAGATGTCTTATCATGTTTGACTTCTAGAGTTCCATCAAACTGCAAGAACCCAGAAATCCTGACATTAATATGTACTAGAAAAATGGTTTCCAGAGAAAGTAGAAAAAAAAAAATCAGGTTAAATTGCAATTTGCTCACACCTTAGTCAACAAACTAATGCTCACATAGCTTTATATACTGCTTCAGTCTACAAATTACAGAATGTAGATGCATTATTAAAGAAGACATATTTTTAAACCCAAATTAATTTGTATCTATCCATTTGTATCATTCCAGATATCTAAATTTAATTTTTACAAAGGTAGTCATCTATATTTAATAGTCTATCTTTGATATACATATTGTAGAACTGATTTTATTACCCAAATAATATGCAACAAAAATGAAATGGTCTGACAGCTATGGTATTAATAATTACAAAGATTATAAATTATTTTACATAACAACTTTTCATAAGATTGGGCAAAAATGATTCAAATTATCTTACCCCAAGTCTCTACTGAAATTATGTATCTACTTTTCCAATATACGATATTTTAATTACAAAATTATCAAAAAATTATGTGGCCTTTATAAAAGTATAATGATTTCTCACCCAAAGCTCAACATTCACAAACGTGTTTTTAAGTTACCAGTATATTAGAAGAAGGTATTAATATTTGCAAACATATAGAAAAGTTACAAATGCATCTTTAAAAAGAGTGGAAGAAAAAGATTAGATAATGTAAAATCATAGTAATTTTGCAGTATGTAAGCACAATACCTTGAACCCAAGACTGGAAAGAAGCAAGCTGGGCTGATGATCGAGGTGATGGAGCTCTTTACTTGGTGGCTATTTAAACCTAGTGATTGGTAAAATGCTAATTTTGTGGTTTTGGTTCAACCAATAGGTTTATTTAAATTCTCAGAATTCTCCCAAATAGGAAATTAATTTTCTGCCCAATTCCTTTCCCAGGAAATTCTGAGGAGAGTTTTCAACAGGAAGTGATTCATACTATGATAACAAATCATATAGGAAATGAAGTGGCAGTATTAAATATCAAAATACAAAAATTTCCAGATTTATGATTATTATAAGAACATGATTTTATGTTGAATGGGCAATTGAAAAGAGTACTATCTCAATATAATTTCTTTTATATCTTTTTCTTTTAAAAAATTCAATTTCTATAAAGAAAATCCTTGGGACAAAATGAGATTTTCAAAAATTTTAAATTTTTAGCAACATACTAGGCCATTAAAAGAATTCATCATTTATTTCACCTTTCAAAATACAACTTGTCTTCTATCATTTATTGTGATTATTTATTTTATAGAGTAACTTCTGTTATTTGTGGCCTGATCTTTTTTCCTAAGAAGGAAATCCAATTGTATTATATGTTTTGGTGATATTTTAACTAGACCAGGTAATTTTTTGTTTGCTTGTTTTAGGCATACCAGTTGGGATAGTATTCATTTGTTTAATTATTACATAACACTGTTTAATTAAAAGTAATATTTATTCAATAATTATAATTTTAAAAGGTTTTTAAATCATTGAGTATACCTCCTAATTTACTTTACTTTTAAAGTAAATAAAGTGAAAAAATGAAAATCCCTCTTTCCAACCCCCAGTTCTACTTCTAAAATTACCTAGCATCGTACATTGTAGAAAAATATTATATGCTGAAGAAGATATCCATACATAAAGAGGGTTTTACAAAGTTGTTGTTGATTGTGAGTTTGTTTTTTTACCAGAAAAGAATCATACTACACATTTTAAACAATAAAAAATTATAATGATATTTACAGCTTCTTATAGTCATATGACTGGAACATTATTCTGGGTTAAAAGAAATTTCAGAGTGATTTAGGCTCCTAACATTGGTGATTAGAAGAGTATTACAGTTCTCCTTAGTTAATATCTTCCTTGCTGACTTCATTACCTCAATTTTAACAACTTACTAGTGTTTCCAATTTATGCAGATCCATTCTAGGGACTGAGGACAAGCACCCTCAGCTGCAATATAATACTTTGCTTTTGTCTTTTCCCAGTGGTATACCCAAGGTGACCAACTTATTTTACTCCCAACTCAGAAGCATACTGCATGAAAAATCTACTTAATTTGTGAAAAGCTTCTGTATCCTCATTTGTTTATTCATTCTTTTATTCACTAATTTATTCAGAGACATGAAAAAACTGGACAAGGCACTGGAAATATAAAAGTTGAGCAAGAAAAGATGTCTGGCATTATAATATAGTGAGTAATTAACACACACGCACACACACACACACACACACACAAACAAATAATTTTAATATGTTACAGATAGTCCAGAATTAACGATTTGAATAGGGCCTCTGGAGTGCTCATGGACAGCTGAGACTGGTGGCCATACCAGACAAGGTCCTCTAGATGAACTTGATCATGAGAAGTCTTAACATCAAAGGAGAACCATCGGACTTCTGAAAGTGTCTAATCTACATCATAAGACAAGTCACCACTTAGAGAATTTATACAACAGCTCTAGGAATTCTCATGAGCTCAAAATCCAGGGATTTTTAAAACTATAATTTCCCAGGGATAGAATCAATCTTCACTTTGTCTGAATTACATATTAAAGAAGGCTGTTAATTGGGTTTTCCTGTTATTTTAACAAATTATTCTTATCATTGTACAATGTAACTGTGCACTCTAATTTGAGAAAACATTTTTTTGTATGCTCCTTATAGATTATTAGTGCAATCAATGCCAAGTTTGGAAGATTTTAACCAAGGTTTACTTGCTTTATCATGATCATTTTCCATTGCTCTTGTGAGTTAAATTTGGCCACTAACAAAGCTCAATTTGAAGCAAATATCTAAACCATTTGTGATCAGATGGGACTTTGCCACATGGGTAAAGAAAAAAATGAAATTATTACCTGGAAGTCAGTATCAATTTCCTGGTATAACAGGGTCATTTGTATAATGGGTTGAACATATAATTGTTCATTCAATACTGAACATTTCTGATAATGAAAGGGTCTGTTCTTAATAATTACAATAGAACAACAGACATAGACAAAGACCGTCAAGGCCTACCAAGGTATGGTCACTCTAGTCAAATCACACAACTGCTTTTAAAAACCCAAAACAATCCTTAACCAAATGAAAGTGTAAATATGTCACTTAAGGGACAACTATATAGAAAGCTTCTCTGTTTTCCAGGTTTTAGATATTGGAAAAATTTTTTTCTTTGGATTCATACTAATTAGAAAATCAATTAGTTTCAAAAATGGAAGGAACTCCATTAGCAGTAGACATATTTGTGGAGAAAATACTATGTCAAAAGGTAAATTTTAGTATGCAAAGTTTTGTATATTATTGCTACATCTTCTGCTCCATACCTAAACCTGCTCTGGGGGACTCATTTTGTATGAAGCAGTCAATAATTCAAAGTATGAATTTCAAAGATAGTTTGTCATGGTTCAATTTATGATGAAGACCCCAAAGGCAATCACAGAAAAAACAGAACTAAATAAATAGGATCTGATCAAATTAAAAAGCTTCTGCACAGCCAAGGAAACTATCACAAGAGCAAACAGACAACCTACAGAATGGGAGAAAATATTCACATGCTATACATCCAATAAAGGGCTGATAACTAGAATCTATATAGAATTCAGAAAGATCAGCAAGAAAAAAATCAAACAACCCCATTAAAAAGTGGCCAAAGGACATGAACAGAAACTTTTCAAAAGAAGACAGACTAATGTCCAACAAACACACACACAAAATGCTCAACATCTCTACTCATCAGGGAAATGCAAATCAAAACCACAATGAGATATCACTTATCCCCAGTAAGAATGGCCTTTATCAAAAAGTACCAAAACAATAAATGTTGGCGTGGATGTGGAGATATAGGAACACTCGTACTGCTGGTGGGACTGGAGACTAGTGCAACCTCTGTGGAAAGCAATATGGTGATACCTCAAAGAGCTAAATTGGAAACTACCATTTGATCCAGCAATCCCATTGCTGGGCATCTACCCAAAAGGAAAAAAGATATTCTATATAAAAAAAATTCTGCACTCAAATGTTTATAGCAGCACAATTCACAACTGCAAAGATGTGGAAACAACCCAAGTGCCCATCAATTCATGAGTGGATTAATAAAATGTGGTATATGTTTGCCATGGAGTTCTACCCAGCCACAAAAAACAATGGTGATATAGCACCTCTTGTATTATCTTGGATAGAGCTAGAGCCCATTCTACTAAATGAAGTATCCCAAGAATGGAAAAACAAGTACCACATGTACTCACCAGCAAATTGGTATTAACTGATCAACACTTATGTGCACAAATAGGAATAACATCCATCGGGTGCCGGGAAGATGGGACAGGGGAGGAGGGGATGGGTGTTGTGTGCACCGTCTGGGGGATGGACGCACTTGAAGCTCTGACTCAGGAGGGGCAAAAGCAATATATGTAACCTAAACATTTGTACCTCCATAATATGCTGAAATGAAAGACATATGATGTGATGCATTCAAATTTTGTCCTTTCTTGGAAGTAAAGAATGTGAAAGGGATAATGGCCATATAACTGAATTTTTATGGTCACAGGGAGAGGGGGTGTAAGGAGGCTGCCCAGCTGGAATGTTTCAGAGAAGGGAGAGCATGAAGGTGAATTGGGAAGAGGAGATAGCAGGCTCCAATTTCTCTGAACAGGACTGGATGTTAAGAATGACAGCAATGAACAAAGTAGTGTAGTAGAAAATATTCACAGAGGCACATGAAAATCTATATAAAAATTTAACAAGTAGAACTTATTTCAGGATTTAATTTTTAAACATCTTAAATAAGGAATGAATTACAGAAGAAGTCCAGAATACAGATAGCAGATGATGACATGAGGTGGTCAGGAATGTGCAGTGACTGTTACTATTTGGGTAAGATTGGAAATGTTGAGTAGTGAGAGGAGAGGTCTGCACACAAGAAAAGTGCTAATGGCAAGTGTGTGGAGACATGAAAATAAAATTCTAAAGTAATTTTGTCAAGGAACAAACCTTTTAGTAAAAAAATTTCGTATTTTGAAAGGTGCTGTGATTGTTGAAGAATATGAGAACTTGGGTGAGTACAAAAGAGGAAATGTTATTCTCAGCGTGAAAAGATGGGGAGAGGAGTCTCGAGAGATGGGTAGGAGGGTGTAGCCTGAGGAAGGGAGGAGAGTGGGAGAGGATGACAGGTGGAAGTGGGAAGATGTGTTGATTTGAAGTGATTTGAAGTGACTATACCATAGTGCTAGTAAAGGAACTGGTGAATGACACAGCTAGAATGCAGGGCAGGAAGAGGAACAAGGAAGACCACATAGTACAAGGTCGGATGTGACCTTAAGAATTGGAAATTCTCCTTCTTTATGAGGAAGACAGGAGACTGAAAGGTTGGCAATCTCTGCTGTTGGCCCTGGAGGTGGCACTGCAATGGTGTCATCTCTACCCCACCCTGCTCACTCTACCTCTCTCCTGAATGTCATGACTTCCTCTTGTTGTTTCAAGCTGTTATGGTTATGGACTGTTCCAACTCAAGGATCTTGAGAACCTTCCTCTTCCAATGCCTGGAAGCTCTTCAAGAAGAATATAGGACTTGGGTCCCCCCCTGCTTTAACAATTCACAGGCCATGTTGCTGACCTCAGTTACCCCATTTCCAAGCACTTACATGAGGAGACAAGGAAGGACATTAACTACAATGTACTGTTTATTATGGGGCCAACCCTCCAACGCAATTAGATTCCTCCAAAATAGCCAGGGCTGGCATTTATTGAGCAT